CAGATGGCTGGCCAGCTGCATCTTGAATGCCTCTAGGGTGGGAGAGCCCACAACCTCCCTAGGTCATTGGTTCCATTCTTGTACTGCACTTGCAGTCTGGATATTTTCCCTGATGTCTAGCTGGGAGCAGGCTTCCAGGAACTTGAGCTTCCTGGAACTCCCTTATTCCATGTCCTGGACTCTGGAGTGTTTGAGAAGAAATGCTGGCCCTCCACTTTGTGACAGCCTTTCAAGTACTTGTAGAGAGTTATCATATCTCCCCTCAGTCTTGTCTTCTTGAGACTTTCAATCTCTCCTCACAGGGCTTCATATCCAGTCCCTGGATCATCCTTATTACCCTCCTCTGGACCTTTCTGGCTTGTCTGTATCTTTCTTAAACGCTGGTGCCCAGAAATGGACACAGTATTCCAGATGAGGCCCAACCAGTGCTGAGTAAAGGAGAACTAGCACCTCATGGGATTTGGAAGTGATGTTTCTATTAATGCAGCCTAAAATAGCATCTGCCCTTTTTGCAGCCGCATCACATTGTTGGCTCATATTCAGCTTGCAGTCTACAACAATTCCAAGGTTCTTCTCAGTTGCACTATTCTTGAACCAAGTATTCCACAACCATAACAATGCATTTAGTTTCTTTTTCCATAGTATGACCCTCATACCCTGCCACCCATCAAATTCTACAGACCCTTATTTTATAGAAAGTGTAAATGACAGTTGCTCCAATTCAGAGAAAGCTGGTTGCACACACGCCTTGCTAAAATCAATGTGGCAAACACATTAGTTATGCCGAAGTTGTCATAGGCTGTAGCCACAATTGGTTACAGCTGGGACTCCAGCTGAGGAATAGCACATGCATGTGGAGTAGAATCGACACACTTCTGAGCTGTTTGAGCTCAAGTTACAGTTTAATTTCTTTGTAGACTTTGATCATTGCTGAATCTTAACTTCCCCTGACCATTTCTGAAATCCATTATCTTATTTATTAAAAGTGATTTAGTGGGCTAATAAAACTGATATGGCAGCTGGCCTTGCGATAACGAGTTATTGCAACTCTCTGAGCAGCTTAATTGTATCATTGCCTTATCAGCCATCATTTGTGTTGGCATATGCTCCAATCAGGGAGACTTGCCACATGGGAACATATGTTAATGCACATGGGACGGGAAGGGCAAAAGAAAATGACTTATTCTGTTTCTTCCTGAATGTCTGGAGGAGAAAACCAAGGATTTGTGCCATAGTTTTTATTTATTTCCAATACAATAGCAATAATGTAACACTAAAATGAACTGGTCAGACTATCCTGCCCCTCCTATATTGCCTTTCTCAAGCTGACCTTAAACCTATCATTTTCCATCATACTATGTATTTCATATTCAAATTTTGTTTTATAGATAGAAACAAGATGCCATACATTGTAACATGCATGAGAAGATCAACTTTCTAAACCTATTTTTATTATCAGAAAGAATTATGCTGCAGGGATGAGTGAATGCCCAACCCTACATTTCAGATTGCATAGGAAATGAGCCAATTCCCCCCAAACAGAAATAACTTGGCTTGTTTTCTGATTCAGTAAAATATTCCAAAACTCTGTCAGCCATCATCATCCTATGCATGTTCCCCAAGCCAGCCCTCCAACATCCTCTTTAGACACTGGGATTAATTATCTTATGGGGGTTCCTTGTAGATGCTCCCAGAGAATGGGGGACTGCCGAGAAAGCCTCTGGGAAACCCATGCATGTAAAAAAGAGGAGTGTCCAAAAAGCCAAAAAGGAGGTTTAACATTCCTCTCTTTCCAGTTATACATACCTGTTACTTAATATAAGAACACCTTCCATTTGTGGAAGTGACAACTTTGATGCTTCCTTGAATTAGAATGAAAATATTGTAAGGATCCCCCAGGACTTGGCAGGAACGGCCATGTTTGTTCATTCCCGTGAGTGTCCTAGCCACATACAGAGGCAGGAGGAGTCTATTCTGGATATCAAAATGAGCAAATGGGTGAGGGGAACTGCCCCTTCTCTGCAGACAAATGGAGTCCCTCTGACTGCACACAAAGAGGTAATGCAGGGACAGGGGCAGAATTCTGATCATTTTGTTTTGATATTAGAATTAGAGCTTTAGACCCGACTTTATACATGAAGTGGGGAAACACATGAGCACTAAATGTGGGCGCCATTAGAGGATCTGGCTGACTCCTTTTGTCTAATTGGCACAAGCAGCAGAATAAAATTATAAAGCTCCGGGATTGTGCCACTTTGGAAAGAACGACATGGTTACGTTGTGGGATTCGTTACCACAAGATGGGCAGCGCCTTGGAGGGCTTCAAAATTGATGAGGCAAATCCACAGAGGAGCAGCAGTAGTACACCAGTTGCAGGGGAACATGAATGGGAAGGGTTAGTGCCATCCTTGTGCCCTTCCCACTGCCAGCTGGTGGACAAAATGCCAGAACACTGATCCAGCAGGGCTGCTCACACGGTGTTGCACCTGCAAATATTTTCCCATAAGAAAATGTCCAGCACATCCAAAGCTAGTATGTCACAGAGAAAGGTTCAGCCTAAAGCGGTTATCTAAAGTATAGGTGGGGTGTGGGTTGCCACTGAACCATGGGTTGTGTGGTCTGAACCCAGCTGAGATAACAAACCAAGGTGAAGAACCGTCAGTTCATAACTCAGCGTCAAGCCAAGGTATGTCTGCTTCATGGTTGCTGTGGTTAACAAACCATGGCCTGCTGGAATGGCTGTGTTCAGTCCACGCAATAACCCATGTTTCAACAGCAACAATTACAACCCATGAGTATGGGTTATCATGCTGACTGAAGCCAGGCTGAATTTTTGTTTCCCCTGTTCTTATTCTGTTCTTTGAGGATTCATTCACTGCAATTGAGAGATGGAGGGGGAAAAAGCAAAACTTAATACACTGATGCAGTGAATCATGCATTAAGTCACAGTTCTATGTACATCTAGAGGCCTTTTTTCTGTTTGAAAGGCTATAGAATTGCATCCTTCCTGATGTTATTGTACTAGTTACCTTGGAATTTCTTTTAGCAGGCAAGATACAAATTCCAAAACATAAAAATTAGTTCTCATGCTATAGATTCACTATAGAGCAATTGCTGAGGGTCTGGCCTTTGCTATGTGCAGTGATATTTCTGGGGAGGTGGCCAAGCAGCAAGACTTCAAATGGGTATCTAAAGAAACGCCTACTTCCATATTTGCCCTCCCACCCCTTGAGATCAGTGGCAGAGGCCCTCCTTCAGGAACCCTCTGTAAAAGATATTAGGAGGGTGAGTACCTGGAGGAGGGCTTTCTTTGCGGTAGCACCCCACTTATGTGCTCCCCAGAGAGGTCCGCCTGGCGCCATCGTTATTTGATTTCGGCACCAGGCCAAAACCTTTTTATTTAAATGCTATTTTAATAATTGTTGATATTATTTATTGTTTTTAAAATATTTTATTTATTTATTTATTTATTTATTTTTCAATTTATATCCTGCCTTTTTCCTACAAAGGGCTCAAGGCAGCTTACATCTCCTCCTCCATCTTATCCCCACAACAACAACCCTGTGAGGTAGGCTGGGCTGAGAGTTTGTGACTGGCCCAAAGTCACCCAGTTGGCTCCATGGCTGAGCGGGGACTAGAACCCAGATCGTCTGAGTCCCAGTCCCATGCTCTTAACCACTACATATTTAGCCATGATGTTTCCAGATTTTATATGTATTTTTGTATTAGTATTTATTCATATGTTGGAAGCTGTCCCGAGGCTTATGGAAATGGGACGGCATACAAAAATTCCAAATAAATAAATAAATAGTCTTGCCTTTGCACTTCCATATCCAAGCATACCTTTACAGTCACCTATCTAGTAATCTTAGGGTATCATTATAGCAGTTCCACAAGCAGGGCTCAGAGCCAATTCCATTCTGTGAGACGTACCCTGTGTATGCACAGGGGAGATTTAGCATTTCCTCCAGAAACAGGAGGAGCAGAAATGCTCCCATAGACTGGAACAGGTTGACAGAGCCCACATAAGGGAGCTCTTACTGCTTGACCAGATCCAGAAAAGAGTGTTTATTTTTCACTGAGAGGCTTCCTAAAAGAAATGCTCATATTCCCATTGTTCGAGCTGTGAGTGCTGCTTGGAAATGGTTCACTGGGATGCTGCTCAGTGCTTGAGGTGCTGAAAAGATCTTCCAGTTAATGTCGTAAATACTGGACTGGAGGACCATAACTGAATGGTCCAGCATATGGTTGCTTGCGGAAGTTCACAGGTCACTTTGGTGGAGGTATTAAAGCAGAAGGTGGACCTATATTCTGGCAAGGATGCTGTAGTTGCATCATGTAAGGATTACCTGTTGCACTGAGTAGGGATTGAGATTGGACTCAATTTATTTGATTCTAATTATGATTCTAATTTTGGCATTTCTTAAAAAGGATCAGTTAGCAGGTGATGTGCAAACCTATGAACCAGATTGCGGTATGAATCAGAATAAATAGTCCTGAGCTAACTAGTTGGACATGGAATGAGGCAGCTTCTCAAGACCTGTGTTCTCAGAGCAATAAGGCTACTTCTTAGGATCAGACCAGATAAATGACAAACGTGTGGTTGCCACTGAAGGTGGCAGCTATGTATCTTATTACTTCCTTCCCCACTTCAATTTCCTTGTGTCTTCAGGTTTTGTATTTCCTACCCTCTGGGTAGGGGTTGAGGAAATATTATGAGGGCACAAATTCCCTCTAGTATAATGGACAGAAAGGAGGGGAAAGAACATGTAAAAGGAGCAAGGAGAAAGGAGCAAGGAGAAAATCTGCTGACTATTTCATGGGACAGGATTACTGAAAGATGACTCCATACAATTTCTCCATCAGTTCTCCATACTCCATGGCTCTGTCATGCTTTTACACATCAAGGAAATAAAATCTTAAATATTGTTTCTGATTGCCTTTACCTTTTCTGGGTACCTATAAATATTAATGTTTTGGTTCCTCTTCCTCTGCTGTAGATATCACTATTATGGAATTGGCATTAAGGAAAGCAGTGCGTACTACCACTCCGTGTATTCTGGGAAAGGACTGACAAGGTATGGCAAAAGATTTCCAAGGTCTCATTCAATAATGATGAAAGATGAGTCTCATGGCTCACCTAGGAGGATCAGTTCATTTTTGAATGCACACTACTGATCTTTGATGGCACAGTTATTCAACCCTAGAGGATTGTGAAAGATCCCACGAAAAGGAATGGTTTTGTATACATGCAGTGGTATAAAGATCCTACAAATGTGAGAGGATATGAAAGGGCTGAATATGGCAGACTCAGGGAATTGGTACATGCAGCAGTGTCAAGCAAGTGCTAGTTGTTCAGATGCTATATTTGTGCAAACCTCATAATTTTCACAAGAGTGGATGGCACAAGCGGTGCTTGGTCCTTCCAAGTGGCTGCCATTTGTAAACTAACCTGCTTTGCATACGAAGCTTGTTCTGTATATTTTCAGGCAATATAATGAAAATTGTTTATTTATTTATAATTAAACTTCTGTTCCGCAACCATTAGCCCCATAGGACTCTCTAGGTAAATTACAAAGTGATGATTAATCCTCATCTCTAACCAGACAGTAATCCAAGAAACCAAGACCAAAAAGCGCACTGGGGGGGGGGGGCAAGATTTCCACATGGTTACAAATTCCACAGAAATTCAGCTTTCTGTGCAGCTGATGACTGCACAGAAAGTGTGCAGTCATCAGCTGGCTATGGTGTGGTGGTAATTTTTGGCATGCAGGAGCTGAAAATGTCAGGTGTGTGTGTGTGTGCACGTGTGCACATGTTGCATATCTATATATCAATTTCACCCCCAGCCCTGGAAAAGTATAATGCCTAATTAATTAGTGTCAGCTTGGCTGCTGTCCTACCTCGGCATAGTTATCTGGAAATAACGACGTTAGAGACAAAACATGACAAGAACAAGATTGTCTAGGATTTATTGCTTGTATTCACTGCCCTGTTTTATGACAGTATTGGTAATGTATTTCTCAAAATTATGGTCCAATATTCTTTCCTGAATTAAAAGTAAAATATCTTGGTTTTCCAAGGTTTTCTGGAAGCAAACTGAAGAATGAGGTGAGTGGTGGTTGTTATATTATTTGTTCTACTAGGAATGATTGCATTTGAAATGGATAGACTATATTTGTGTAGCCTAAACCTGGCCAGTTCTTTACAGAGTTGACTTTTAATTAAATAGATAATTATAGATAAATATCTAGAGATTTTAATGATTCCTGTGATGATTCCTGCTATGTCTGCGTGTTGCTGGTTTGTGTGTTGTTTTATGATATATTTTGCTCATGTGTTTTTAGTGCAAGTATTTATTTATTTATTTATTTATTTATTTATTTATTTATTAAAAGCTTTTCTAACCCATCCACTACAAACATCTCAGGATGGCTTACAATAAATGATGCGTGTGAAAGTCTGTGTGTGAAATTTGAGTGTTTGAGGGTTTGGGGGCATGGGTTCTAACAGAAATCTAAGAAGTTAAAAATATTTACCTAGAAATAAGCACAGCTGCATTTCAGTGCAAAAATCACATTGCCTACAGCTCAGTGCTTTGCATGCAAAAGACCACAGACGAGTCAGTCCTGGACAACGCTCTCACAGCCAGTACTGGGCTAGATGGGCCAACGGTCTGACTCAGTGACTAGGTTCTAATAGGTTGTGTGTAGGTTGTTGTTGAACGGTGGGTTGTCTAGATGCAGCTTCATTGACAAGCCATGACTTGCTATGCATTTCAATCCATGGAGAATCCATGGTTTGTTGTTGGATTGTGAACTATGGATTGTTCAGCATGGATTGTTATCTCAGCTGGATTTGAGCAACATTAGAACATTTCAACAACAACCAGTGGTTTAATTACAGCTGACACATAACCCATACTCAAGAGTTGAGTATTGTATTGTCTGGATCCAGTCAATGTGACTAAGTTCCTAGTTGTTTCCTTAGCCTTATGTGAGGCCCTGATAACATTGAGTTATGCATGCTTAAATCCATTGAAATGAATCAGCATCAGCAAGTGCCCTTCTCATCTAGACTGCAGGCACACTAAGGGAATAAAGGCAGGCTCCAGCTTAGATATGTAAATCTGAATTTTGGGGTCTCCAGTGTGATGCATAAAAAATGACCCATATGCCACTAGTGCCATTTTTGTTAATTTGGAAAGAGGATTAAGGCTGTAATCCTATGGACACTTAGCTGAGATTAAGTCACATTAAACCCTGTCAGATTTACTTCTGGGTTATACATAGGATTGTGGTACAAGTTGTTTTACTATGGATGTTTTTAATTTTTAAAAATAGCCTTCACAATGGTTCAAATGATCTGATGCTTCCAGAGTCTTTAATTGTATGTATAATTTCCATTGCTTCCAATACAAAATATCCACATCACACCCCCTTCCTCATTTAATCTCCATTTCCCAAAATATAGTTAGAGTATAGTTGCATAATAACTAATATTTCACAGATTGTTCTTGTTGTCATGGTTAGCTTCCCACACCCAAATGCTAATAATAACTATTAATTGCAATCTTGACAGTCTTTTAAACTCCCTTCAGTTTATGTCAACTAAGAAGGTGAATGCCCATCACTTTTTTTATTTAGTTATTTATCTGTGTTTGTTTGAGTAGCCAGAGACTTAGGCAAAGTGCAGCCTGGATATCCTTATTATCTTAAGGAATAATTAACAAATCTGATGGGTTAACTGAAATCCTTCCTGAGACCGACCTGGATAATAGATAGAATGCAAAGCAAGGAAGAAACACTGGTTCAACCAGCAGGGTCATTCTGTGATTGCCAGTAGATAACTCAATCAAAATCTTGTGGCAATTGGCATTTGCCTAAAGGATGCAATGTCAAGGCAAGCCAACTGCACCCTTTCTGTGTTTGCATTACCTATTCCCATTCCACACTTCTGGATTGATGTTACTCACGGTGTGTGTGTGGCTGTGTTGGCTTGCAGAAGCCGTACCCATTTCACCAGTCAGGAAAGGAAGGAAGACAGGAGGGATGGAAGGAAGCGAGGTGGATGCTATCACCTCCACAAATCTGCCAAGACAGAAACATGGTTTTTTTTTTTTTGTTTTGTTTTAAAGCAGGACTTTGACAGCAAGACAGGAAAGGAGTGTGAAAAGCAACCCTCTTGTCCGAGAAAAGTTTTAAAAAGAAACAGGCAACTAGTATAATTGGGGTATCTCAGATGGGCCAACCATCAAGCCATTTATGTGGCATCAATCTGCTGAGGTCCCAGAAACCCATGGAGACTTTGATGGGGGTTCCTGTGTTGGCAACGGGGGATGCTCATCTGGAGTCCTCATCCTCTTCCCTCCCATCTCACCCATATACCCTTTCCCTAAAATTAAAGATTTTAAAAAGATCTCTAAATACTTCAGAATGGATACACTACAGGTCTCTTTCACTCCACATTATACTGATTGTCATAGTGCATTCTGAGTGTTGAGTTTCCTTGCTGTGGAAAGTTCTTGTTGTTTTAATTCCTAAAGACTTTGAAAAGTCCAGCTCCCTCCTTCAATGTAAAGTATCAGTCATACACTTCAAAGACTGGTGGTAGAAAGAACCTTAAAGAGAAGGCAACAAAGATCACCATTTGTAAAAGTAATTCAAAATTTGGTAGCCAGTTTCTTATCTTTTCTTTCTTTTTCCTCCCATATTGTCTTTTAAATCCTTGCTGCTGGTGTTTTGTTTTATTACTGTATCATTCTATAGAGGCACAGGCAAAAGGTATAAAGGGGGCCTTGGAATTTTGCAAATAAAATTATTCTGGGACTTGTTCCTGACCAATCACATTTGTATGTGATGTTAGAGCAGAAACCTATTTTACTGAAGATAGTTTCATAATTCCAAATGAGTGCAAATTAGCACGGGCTTCTTCAGTATACAAAGTATCATTCTGGCTAGGTTATTGGCATGCATTTGTAAAGTTATTCCACATGTTATAGGGTGGATTTACTCGAAAATATTCCCTGAGCTCCAAAACTGGGACCCTCCTTCCAGAATTCCCCAGTGCTCAGCATCTTGTGCTGGATAGATGCGTCTCTAAAGACAAGGTAAAATGTGGAGTGTGTGTTTGTATGTCGCATTGACTTTTACATCTGCATTTTTTAATTCTAATCTCTGCCCTCAAATGCTTCAGGTAGTGACATGAGACCACTAGAAATGCCTATAATCAAATAAACTTGACTGATTTATAGAGGGAGCAAACTTCCACTATCGCCAATTAACTGACTTTGCATTGGAAAGGTGGTTGAATTATTTACATATTAACTTGCCTAATATTTTACAGATAGATGGTATTTGCCTTGAGGAAGGCAAAACAAAGAAACAGTTAGGAGTCCTATTCATTCCAAATACCAATGGATTAATTTAGCACTGATAAGAGAGGGACAAATTATGAAATGGCTTTTTCCTCCTTCCTTGTCAAAGAACACTTTTCCTCCTTCCTCCTTTGTCAAAGAACACTTGATAGCCCTCTTGTATTTACTGATCTTATAGACAGGGTTCTGTTTTAATCAGCAGACTCTAGTTATTTTGCTGCAGTCCTTTTGTGAATAATCTTTGAAAATTGTAACTCTTTTTAATTGTGAGTTTTATAATTATCTACAGGAGGGAAACTAAAATGACTCAAGGATTTAATTATACATTCATGATGTCAACAAATTGATATAGTATAAGTGTCTATGTTAAAATAAGAAATACATTAACAATGTATGTACTCCTAAGTGGGCTTGCCCAGAAGTAAACCCTTCTGAATTCTATGGGACTTACTTCCAGTGAAAGTTCATTGGACGGTGAATCAATTTCCCGTGACTTGGCCTTTTTAAAGGGACAGAGCAATCCTATTGTTGGAGGCAGACAAATGTGAAGATGGAAGGGCCAACATTTCCAAAGTTCTGTGTGGCTGATGGTGGCAGGGGAGAAGTAAAGCTGGAGCAGTGCTTTTGATTCCCTGTCCTCTTCCAGGCCAACTTCTCTCTCTCTGTATTTCTGTCTCTCATGCACACGGACATTCTGTCCTAAGAAACTGATGGGAAGAAAGCAGCTTACACAAGCTGCAATGCTTGTGTGGCTCTGTAACTGTTTTGGAGTACGGCTCAGAACTAGGAGGCCGGATCCATAGATTTTCTGGGCATTCCCTCTCACCCCACCTGGCATACTTCTGTCCGGGGAGTTGTGGCATGGTGGGAAAACTGACCGCTGGGATTTTCTGTGGGAGCTGGGAGGGGAGCATTGAGATTGGACCTCTCTCTTTGACCTCAGAGCAGGAGATCTGGTATATCCTACAGCAAGGGGGGCACCCTTCCAAGTACGGCATGATTTTAATTCAAAATGTTAAATATCAAAGCTGGCAAGCAGTTTACGGACATTTCATTTCTCTCCAGTTTTGATCTTGTTTGTTTGCTTGTTTCAACTTCAGCTTTGTGAAATTCAGGAATCTGAGCCCATGCAAAGGGTCTGTTTGTTATTTTTATTAGCTGCTTGATAATATTCAATTATCTAAGCAACATGCAAAATAGAACAAAATTGGAATAATGGGTTGTATCCAGTGATGTACATCTGCCAGTTACCTTGCAGATGGCAGAACAGATTTCCGTTGAAATTACTTGATTTAATTTAATGTTTTTAATTGCTAACATAGGTGGATACCCTTATCATGATGTATAAAACCCACTGTCAGTGTGTTCTTGACAATGCCATTAATGGCAACTTTGAAGAGGTAAGACTTTTTGAAGCACATGTTACGTGTCCTGTTACATGTCCAAGGACATGGCCGGCATGTAGCTCATATTGTGCTCTGCTTGTTCTTCCCTAGATCCAACATTTCCTGTTACACTTTTGGCAAGGGATGCCTGACCATCTTCTTCCCCTTCTTGAGAATCCAGTTATCATTGACATCTTCTGTGTTTGTGACTCAATACTGTATAAGGTGTGTTGCATGTTAACTTAAGTTGGAGGTTTCTTCCTGCAACCGTCCTGCAACAGCAGGGGGTTTGACTCAGTGGCCTTCATGACCCCTTCCAACTCTACTATTCTATGATTTCCTGGCCTGGTTTTCAGTGGGAAACAAGTGTGTGATACAGCCCTGTATTTGGGTTCTACAACTTCACCCAGCAGGTAGAGTTCACACAACTGAATACTGCACCTCTTCCCTTCACCATGTTCAGACATAAGCAGAAAGCAAGCATCTTAGATATTCTTTCATTTTGATAGCTAGTTTCCTACATGAAATTAACTTTTTGAAGGATTAAGCATCCAGTTCCACATGGTTTCTGAAGTCATACATCTCAGGCACCAGTTTATCTCCTGGCCACAGTTGCTTGATATATAACCAAGTAAAATACTATGAGGATAATGAAACAAAAAGGAAAATTTGGTCCTTTTGCACACTTTCAGGCAGAGCAGCTCCTGTTTCCTTCAGGCATGGATGTGTGGGTCTTCAGAAGAATAGTTGACTCTGCAATACAGGGTTTTTCATCCTTATCTACAAACACTTTGACCTATTCACTTCAGTGATCACTGATGCAATGCCTTAGGTCAGCAGTGGGCAACATAGCCCATAGGTCACACCAGATGCCCGGGCCTTAAATGTGCTGCCTGCTAAATCTGCCATGTGGCAGCAGCAAAAGAAACTGCTGTATTGTGATTGCAAACCAGGACAGCAGTCTTACATGGTCAAATGTAACTTGATAGCCCTTCAAACTAGATTTGGGCTTGAAGGCCACGGTTACAGCTAGGTGCCAAAGTACAGGCAGTGGTGGGGATGTGGTCTCTGGAGGTGCCCACTTCTGCCCTGGCACATTTGAAGTAACTTTTCAGGAGCAGAAATGGCAAACTAATTCATAACATCCAGTAGCAAAAAACTGTAGCAAAAAAATAAAATAAAATAAAAAATCAGGCCCAACAGCATCCCAAGAGTTGCCATGAATTCACAGTGGAACTGGCACTCAGTTCTGTGGGGAGAAGGAAGAACAGGCAGAATCACATGCTCACACTCCTTTTAGGGTTTTCCTTCCTGTGGCCTTTTCCTTTGTTACCAGGTAGAAATCTTTATTTCTCTGGCAGCCTCCACCAAATCAGCCTCAAACTCTTCTTATTATTATTTATTATGTTTTATTATTTAGTTATTTTATTGCAAACATTTATATCCTGTCCTTCTGACAAGTGCTCAGGACAGCTTACACAATGTAAAATTGCAATAATAAAATCACAATTATTAAAACAATATAGAACAGCACATCATAAACTAAGAGAAAAGAAAAGGGAGGAAAAGAATAGAAAATGTGACTGTGGGAAAGAAAAAAATCTTAAAACATCTAAACCCGTTAATTATTAAAATGATGGTTTAGGTTAGTGTGGGCAGCTATTAAAAAGAGACAGTGGTGTAACACCTCCCCCCTCCCACAAAAAAAAAGAAGAATCCACATAGTTTTAAACAACAAAGTTTAAATTCATGTCAGTAAGGAAAACTTTTAAAATTGGAATGGGTATACACAACTAGGGATGAACTTATTAGACCTATAAGGTCTTTACTCTAATTGGTCTTACTTCTCAGTTGTTTTTCCAGGTTCAGCAGCTGTGACTTGTTCATTTCTTTAGATCTCTAGGACTTTGGTTCTAGGGTTCTCTCACTCTCCCTTTCTCTCCTCATTTTTGCCTCTTTTGGTTTTTATCTTCCAAAATCACTGTTTTTTCTCCCAAAAACCCTAACCAGAAAAGACGGTAATTTCTTATTCGTTTCTGCTAACTAGGTTTCTGATTCTTGAGATAAACACTAGGCCAGCTGATATGTAACAGCATTGGTTACGTAGGTTGTTTGTTAGGTACGAACTGGAAATAGCAGGTGTGCCAGTTGCTCCCGATTTTATTCAGTCAGTGATTGGACCATTTGTTGGTTGCTGACTGCAATGTGTGAATCTGGAGTACTGGGTTGTTCAGAGGCCAAACAACCCAGAGGTTTACCCAACAGAAAACCATATTAGCCCCTAAACAGCCCAGAACTACTGGTTTACACATCCTGTCTAACATTTTACAGCCAGGCTGAACTTTATAACCTCCTGATTCATAAGCAAAATTTTCCTGGCCTCTGTATTCCGGTAAACTTTTAACCTATAAAGGACATGTAAGTCTTAGAAGTTTAAAGATTTAGCTAAAATTTACTAGTAGATGCACAAAAAGTTTAACCCTATAATATCCTACAATCAAACTAAATATCAAAAATGGAGGGAAGTTCCCTATTACATGTTGTATATGTTTATTTGAAGTATTTTATTTATTCATTCATTTAATTATTTGGGGATTTTTATCCCATCCAATCACATTGCATGTCTCTGGATGGCGTACAAATCAAACACCCAATAAATACAGACACACCCATAATAATCCATAATAATTCATAATAATCCACAAATTTACATTTACATTAGAGAGATATCAATTTACTTCTTATTGTATTTAAGGTCCTTACAGATGTATTGATCCCTTCAACTATGCAAGAAATGCCAGAAAGGTAAGAAATGATCTACACACAATGTTGTTCAAAACATCAGACCAACACAGTGATAGTGGACATCTAAGAAAAAAATGCCTATTTTTTAAATGCTGATCTTTGTTATTTAGAGATGTGAGTAACTGCAACAGCAGAAGAAATAGCTTGATTGGTGGCAATATTTTATTTACTAATACAAGGTATGCAGATATTATATGAACTGTTGAATACTAATGTAACAGAAATGCCTCTTTTATCAGGCAATGAGGCGATCACCTTTCAAGGTTGTAAATGTAATTTCACGGGTCACAAAATAATTAATACTTCTAATCTGTGAGATCCTTATTTTATTTATATTTCAGTTGCATTTATTTTCCCTATCCAGCAAGGGATTCAAGGTCAAGTGGTCTCAACTGTTGGATTTCTGCCATCACTACACAAGACCATGACTCAATGTCATTTACCTCGCTGACATTCATACAAATTATATCATCAGTTTGGGCGATGCTGATAGCCAGTTTGGGGGGAAACTGCATCTGCCCTTCCTTCCTTCCCCAAAAGCTGGTTAGCACTGCCCTAGCTAACACTGTTGGTTATCTCCCCAACAGATATTCACATGTGTCCTTTCTATTAACTGGAGTTAACTCTATGTTGTAAATGGAATAAGCTACATAGATTTCTCTGGACCGAATCCCTGGCCACAGCTCTCTTTAAGCGGTTGCACTGTGTACAGGAAGGGAAACTTCGCCCAGCCGCTCCCTGGTCCTGCCACAAGCCTGCTGCACTTCCACTCTGACAGGGGAAGCTTGCTGCTGGGAGACTGCACAGGGGTGTCCAGCCCCTCCACCCCCGATCCCAGCACAGGGAGGGCAGGGACTCAAGCTCACTGTAGAAGGGGGTGCTTTCCTTCTCTCTTATTTAACACCATACTATATAGTCGACAATGACCAAATGCTGCATAGATGAGGTCAGATTGCAGGGATCATAGGCAGTTTAGCCACAGGCCAAATCCATTGGAATGTGCCATTGGGACAAGACCAAATCCGTTGGCACTGGTACAATAGCATTGTCTCCTTGTGTTATGCCAAGGCATCATAGCAATCTCTGTTGTGCCATTTGGCATTGTGGGAGTCCTTGTCCGCAGTCCTATAAATTTGGCTCTTGGGATCTGGCCACATAGTTTTTCAGTTAAATTGAAGCAATGATGAATGGTTTATGTTGGCTTCTCAAATACTTGAAATGGGTGGTTCACCTTTTGGGTTTGGTGAAATAGTGAGTATATCCAAAGTCCATGAACAGATTCCAGAGTTATTTTCTTCATTTCATTACAGTTTATTGGCGGATATAAGGAATTTTGCTAAAAATTGGGAACATTGGATAGTTTCATCATTAGAAAACCTGCCAGAAAGCCTTGCAACAAAAAAAATACCAATAGCACGAAGATTTGTATCTTCTTTGAAGCGTCAGACCTCCTTTTTGCACTTAGCACAGGTAAAGTAAGAGTAAAAATCATTACACAGCATGGATAATATTGTAAATTGAAAGGATGTATCCTGGGGAAATTGATAAAATCCTGTTTTTAGATATTCTTTTTTCTAGGTATAAGAAAGTGGGGTTTATATTCTTGTGGGTTTATATTCTCAGTCTCCTTATACTTACATAATATTAATAACTAAATGGAGCAAAAATAATCATGACTGATTTGGTACCATCTTAGAAACATAGAAACAGAGCGAGTCAGATGGGACCTCCTGGGCCATCTAGTCTGACCCCTTGTTCCAGCCGGGTCTGCTAAGACAAGGGAAACCACATTAGTATTTTTAAATACCATTCCTTCATGGACTTCAGCATATTTTTTCCAGTTGTCTCTTATGGATTTTCTTTGAAGTTTTATCTACGGTGATGATGCTTAATACTATTGGTATGAAACAGCATCTAAATTACTTTATGGAAAATCCTGTACTTTATCATTTATATTTGTAAAAATGTTTTCCATAGCTAACCCATATTTATTAGAAAGATCCAGAAATGCTTCAGCCCTGCAGATCAGTGGAATATGATCACAAGTGCTTTTTTCTTACATTTCATGAATGCATGGGACAACTGGGATTATGCCTACTGTCTCCATTCTCAACCTCCACATACTTATTTAAAAGCCAGGGAGGTGGCCTTTTGTGGCGTTCCTGATTGTACGGAGAGATGTGCATCTTGTATGTTGGTATCCCGTTTGCCTGGGCTGCTCAAAGATTTTGTTTCATCCTCATTTTTAAGTGGACTGACCTGATTTGCATTTCCTAGAACAATATGTATATCAGAAACAATTGTTCCTTTGGTTTCGCACATCTCCCAATTTTGCAATACAGCTCTTGGCTCAAAAAGCACACCAAAGTCCACAGAAGTATGTATTTCAGGTTAAGTTGCATATAAAAATATGTGTTTTAGGAGAAAAATGGAGATGTAAATGTATGCTTCATTAAAAATAAAATTAATTCAAATTTTCATGGCAATACAAAGCAGGATGGGACAGTTTTTATGAATGCGCACATGTGGCACTGCCACGTATCAAAAATGGGTTGCTCTGCCCATCCTTAATGAACACTTGTAGACTGGGACCAAGAGAAGTGGGTGGCTCTCAGGTCCCCCTCTTTGAGTGCTCATGGAATGTCTGATGATCATATTTAGCCCTCCTGGACAGTCAGATTGCGCACTGTAAGCCCTCCCTCCTTCCTGGAGCCCTCTTCCTTTCTTCTCTTCCCAGGTGGCTGTGCAGTGTGCACAGTGGCCATTTTGTGCAATGGGATTTAGAGACTTACCCTTGCTGCCCATCCATCCGTTCCTTATAGAGATGAAGACTTATCAGCTAGGACTAGTTAGAATGCTGAAACTAAACACCCATTTTCGGGCCATCTGAACTAGTTCTGTGTTAGCTGCTGGGCAGCTAACATGAGTTGATTTTGTTTCATCTCCACAATAGCTTTCAGATTAATGTCAGCTGGAAGAACATTGCTTTTGGTGTTAATTCCATTTCATCTGTGCCACATATTGCTGTTTAAGCAGGACAAAATAACCTTTATCTGATACTGCACAAAATGCATTGTTCAGAAGACAAAAGGTGAAGGGCCACGGTGGCGCCATCACGCCCTTGCCTCCCCCGTCAGTGGTCATCTTAGCATATTTCTGTGTTTCTTGTTCACAGATTGCAAGACCAGCTCTTTTTGATCAACACACAGTGAATGCCATGGTGGCCGATATTGAGAAAGTAGACCTATACGGCATTGGATCTCAGGCACTGCTCACAGGATCGGGAACCATGGACTCTGATGGGGAGGGCTACATTGAATGTAAGTTGGTGCCATATTAGAACATATTGCTGCTTCCCACAACTAGAGCACAGAACAGTTGCATGTGTGCGATGCTAAAAAGCACATGTCAGGGTCTACAGAAGGGACTTCTACCACAAGTGCAAGGAAAAAAATCAAATGTTCCTCCCAGGCAATCTGGCTTTGGTTTTGCATTAGGAGCCAATTTAAAACAAAGCTGGTCTATGTGCAAAGAGGCACCTTCTTCTGTAGATGCTCACTGCAGGCACCTGAAGCTCCATGCAAGCAGGCGCTTCCTCATTCACTTCAGTGGTGGCAGGAGCTCCACACACCCCTTCTTGTCATGCTCACACAGTTCTCTTTGACACTGAAGTGTTGGTGGAGCTCTCCTGGTTTCAGCTGATGCTTTGGAAAATGACAGAGCATCTCATCAGGTGACTGTATACAACTGAGAATGTTACGTGAAATTTTAGCCTGTTCCGATTGCCCTTGCCTGCCCCACACCACTCGTGGCCCCCAGAAAGGCACTTGGCTGTTTCAAACTTTTGATGAACTCATTTCAACACCACTAATATACTGAATGTCTCTTTGATGGCTTATATGCTTATCTGGCTAATGTCTCTGTGTCTGGCTATAGTTTTTGATTGTGAGTAAATAAATCATCGCGTGCAGATTACCCAGCTTTAGTTTCGGAACTGGCTTTTGTTTCCTTTTTAAAACAACAAAGTATGTCAAAGACATATTTACATTCTCACTCTAGTTTCTTCTCTTTGCCATTGACTTCAGCCTCCTGTTCTTGTGTAGATTTCTTTGCTATGAGCAGACAAGGGCTGATTAATTTACGGGGGAAGTGCAAATGTTAACTACTAGGTGCCTTCAACTGGGGGCTGAGGTGGATTGTTCTGAAGCCTACAGAGGTCAGGGCAACTGACCTGGGAGGGCACTCTGACACTACCAAGGTATTTTATTCCCGAGTTGCTCAAAATTGTGTGTCCCGAGGAGCATCTAGAGGCAAGACAGGGTCTACCCAGAGGTAAATATTTTAAGTCCTGCTGATTTCAATGGGAAAGTTAAGCATTTGCTTAAACCTCTCCCCCTGAAATTAAAGGATTTTAAAATGCCTAACTTCAGCTGTCCTGTAGCATACTTTTTTTTTCAATCAAGCTGGATGGAGGAATGGATGAAAACCAGCAAAGCCCAAATTTATTCCCAGTTTGCAAATTGTGTCCCATTTTCAAACTCTGTGCAGTGCTAATTATTGCACCTGTTACTCATACACATCTGGCCCAGGATGCCAGCTGGCTCCCCGCACGACAGGACTGCCTGTTTCGGCCTTTCTTTAAGTGGCCTCTCCTGTCTGGGCAGGACCCAAGAGGCAGGCCAGCATGGCGACCTCGGTGCTTGTGGCACCACGCAACGCAGTGGCAGACTGTGCAGTGGCAGGAACGGTGCTCTGGATCCCGCCTCTCTCCTTCTCTGCAGCTTCTGACCCTGCTCAGGGTCTTTGCTTGTGATCCCCTAGAAAGAAATAAGGTGTAATTGTGAGGTCCAGCAAAAAGCTGTGGCAAGGAGCATTAGGGTCAGAAGTCCTCTTCAACCTGTGGCAAAAAGTATTCCTGCCAGCAGCTTTGTAGTCATGAATTGCCACCCCAGCCCTGAGGCTGCTGGGACCGAGCTGTATGTCCTTCTGCATGGCCGTGTGGCTAGGCTCTGAGTAAGGGGATCTCCATTTAAGGTCTTAAAGACTAATACTCCAGTCCTAAGCACAACATCTAGGATATGAGGAAGGGAGACGCATTTCTTTTTCGTTACAAAAAATGTCAGATTTGTAAAGAAAGAAAATGTGGCATTTGACCAATGAGGGTTCCCTTGGCAGCAGAACACATCGTAAAAATAAAAGGCATATACCAAGAGAATGAATGCTTTTTAAATTGTTGTTGTTGTTGTTGTTGTTGTTGTTTTTGTGAGTGCATAATTTACATGCCACCTTTTCTGTCTCCAAGGTGACCTCCTTAATGACAAAGCCTATTTAGAGTGTCCTCCGACTCTTTAGCAACCTGGTGCTGTGCCCAAACCCCACCTGTCCTTTGCAGCCTCTTTGTTTTCCTGCATGTGAGCCAGTCGGCTTTTTTGCCTCTTTTACAAGGATGTTGAGAACTTCAGAGAAATTCTGGGGAAGTATCTCAGGGCACAGGGCTTCAGTGCTCACCTCACAGTAAGGAGGGGGCTGAGCTTTTCACGTTTATTTTACCATTTTTATCCTGGACTGCCATGGAAGCCTCTCTAGCTGCGGCGGCTTTCTGGCAAAGTTTCCTCCCTTCAGGCTCTCTATTACTGCCTCCGGCCAAGTGCCTGCAAACTGGTGGGGACTGGTTTGGTTAAAAGGACTTTTAACAACAACAAACCCAACTCAAAAACGTTTCACTCAGCTTTCAAGCACTCAGTAAGCACTACTGCAAAAACACCCTGGAAAGGTAATGGGTTAATTCTTGGTTAGGGGCTTTTCTATATGAAGCATTTCCCATATGCATATCGTTGGCTTCTCACAGTCATTTCTGAGTTCTTTAGACAACATTGTGACCCTCTAGTTTCAACTTTGGAATCCAACTGGCACTTTTGGTGAGCCTTTTAGACCAGAGAAGATGCAGCATTTAAATGTCCCAGAGAAAATACAGCATTGGATTGTCCCCAGCATTTTGTCCCAGAGCATTATGCCAAGCCCTTAAAGTTCAGGCTCCACTCTGAACCATCCCTAGATTTGCTCAGCAGCACCCCCATCTCCTTAGGAACTGCTCCCCTCAACTGCTCTCTCACAAGGTGACTTCTAAAATCATCTCCCTCCCTCACTAACACCTCCCTCACCATGTTCCTGTGCCAATCCTTCCACACAAAATCTGAGCCCCACAGACATATAATCCTCTTCTTACCATAGTATTCCAAGTTCGAGGAAATGCAGTAGTTGTCTTGAAATGCCCCCAGAAATCTCTGCAAGGTGCTCTCTTCCTGCTGCTCTAGCCCCTAGCTGCACTGCTCTAATTCTTCCTTTTCCTTTCCTTTCCTTTACATGCTACAAAACTATCAGTGACTGGTGAGTGGCCTTCTCCCCTGTTCAGAGTAGAATGCAACCACCTATTTTCCTTTTTACATGGTAGATGACTCTATTACAGTGTTCCAAGAGCTGAAGGACCTCTTAAAGAAGAATGCTACCGTGGAATCATTTATTGAATGGCTGGATACTGTGGTTGAGCAAAGGGTCATCAAGGTAAGCTCCAGCAATTCTACCTGGATTGACAACTGAAATCAAATTATTTCACTGTTAGGTCTGTTGGCAAGCCAATGGGGTGGTTCTTTCCACATGATAAGGACTCTTCCTCCAGCTGGGTTCCTTCCCACACCTTCTAGCACTCTTTATGGGGTTTGCCTCCGAGGCACATGACTGGCTGTACCCATGTGATCGCTTAATTCTCACCTACTTCTCAAGCTTTGTATATGTAAAAGATCTTTAGGGGAATCATGGCCTGCAAAACACGAACTTCTGTGTGCTGTTTGATACCCAACGGCAATCCTGTACACAGTTATGAATGCAGCAGAAGCCTCACTCTAATCAAGGAAAGGGTGCATTCCAATTTCTCCAAAAACGTATGGCCCAAACCTTAGAGGAGAAAAGACTGAAGGCTAAGGGACCTCCATACATACATCCCTGTGTAATATTATGCTATACTATTTTATTTTACATGGTTTTTACTGTGACTTGCTATGTTGTGCTACCCTACTGCAGAAAATGTAGCCAATAAATTTTATAGGCATACATATATACCAAAATGCCATGACCTTTCAAAATAGGATGAGAAGTTCTTTGTACAGGTATTTTAAATAAATATACCATGAGTTCTGATTTATGAACTTTCACTGGAAGTGAAAAACAGTACAGTTCCTCTTTCATAGACATAGGGATAGGGTATTTATCCACTATGAAGATATAGGCTTGGTTCAGACATATTTATCCTAGGAATAAGCCACATGTGCACATATTCCATCTTCCCCAACCCTCTCCCTTCTCTCATGCATCTTAATTCAATAGTTTGGAGATCTAGTAAGCCAGAGTTTTTCACAGCATTGGAACTGGGAAACTGACTTAATTTGATATCCTGATTTGAACTTTGAAGGAATCACTAAAAACCACATTTTCATGGGGTTAGGATGTCATAGGAAATGATGGCTTTAAAAACTCTCAAAATAGTGACTAGAGATATGTCAAGCAGGGAGGGAAAACAGGAAGAAAGGGATGTACCAATGGAAAATAACTGGTCCAGTTTCTTGGATTGGAATGGTTGCATTTGAACTGCCATAGTATGGTCAACATCACACTTTATAAGGAGAGGTGCTCAGCCTTGAGAATTCATTTAGAATGGAAATTCATAGAACCCTTACATGTCTGGTATTCAAGGTTCTTCCATCCTCAATTTCAAGAAAGAACCGAAACATTACAGAGTAAAATGCTATTCCGTTTAACTAATCTTTAGATATAATCACTATTAAACAGAGAAATCAGAGAAGAGGGGAATCATCCAGCTTTCAGTTTATATTATAGAATCTAGTTCTAGGGTAAACAGGTATAGTTTCCAATGTTTTCCTCGCACATCTGGGAAAAAATGCCTAACAATTTACTATATGAATCAAGATTAGCTGAGTAAGTGGTAATGATTTACAGAACACGTAATCCTTCCATTGCCCTTTACCTTCTGTTCATTTAAAAGTGCAGGGCCTCTCCATCACACCAAATGGTTTCCTTTTGTTTGCTATTTGAGAAAGTGGCAGCTTATAATGTTACCACAAGCTGCTGCTCAGTTCTAGTGGGGTGGCCAGGGCATCAGATGACAGGAGACAAAGCAAGTACATCTGCGTGCTCTGTATGTTCTACTTTGGCCTCCCTTGCAAGAGCATGTTTTACAATAAAACAATCTAATAAAAAGAGAGAAATGACAAAAGAACAACCGTTTGCAGCATTGAAAAATGATTCAGTACACTTTTCATAGAATGCAGTATGAAACAAATAGGATTCAAACCTCCATTTAAGAATTAGGAAGGACCATATATACTTCTTCTGCGGGAAAGTTCCACTGATAATGGGTGATTACAGAAATAGCCTGTTGATCTGATGGATCTTGAAAGCAGACCTACCAGTAAGGCCTTAGAGGCCTGCTATGTTTGTCCCAGTTAAGACCAGTCCAAGGTACCAATACAGATATTGCTATGTGTATCTGTGATCAATGTCATGGATACTTGAATTATTATATACTGCCATCAAGATACATGACACTGTGCAGAATACCTTCAAGCTTTTCTGCATAAGCCGCCCCGAGGCTTCGGCGAATTTCTGTGTAAGCCGCCCCGAGGCTTCGGCGAATGGGGCGGCATAAAAACGTTTTAATAAATAAATAAATAAATAATAAATAAATAGGGCATTTATTGATTCCTCACTCATGAAAATTTGCAGGGGCTTTAAATGACATCCTCATTCTCCGGGGCCTTTTCCATGTTTCGCAACCATTTTATGGTTTGTTTTGATTTGATTTGATGAGGAAAATCTTCTGTATCCCAGAATATTAGAATGAAGCCCTCTAGTATGAAACCTTCTGCTATACCACAGTGCAACCTACTAGTTGTATAATGGAATATGAAGGCAAAGAAAAAAACATCAGGAGCGGGGGATATGTAAAGATGCTTATCTTAATCCACAAAGTAATTCAACATAGCATCCTCAGTAAAATGTTGGGTTAAAAGCTTCATGTAGAAAAGCCCTTAAAAGACAGGTCTCCATCTCTACTCCAACTGTGGCAAACAACAGACTGGGGTGGGGAAGAGTGAGAAAGAGCAACAGAGACAAGGACCCACCAATACAATTACACCGTGCTAAAGCACACGCCTCCATGGACATGTGTAGAACCTTCCCTCCCAAGGCACATATAAACTGAGTGGGTAATTTTCAGCAGAACTGCCACACAAAGTGAAAATGCTAAAAATCTTTCTGTGCAGCTCATCTCAATTCTGGATGAGTCCTGCAGGTCTGATATTTAAGGAATTTGAGTTCTCTGTAAGAAAAAAGCAGAATATAGTGCAAATAAATAAATAAATAAATTTAGAACATGCGCATTAAATACTTAGATATATTTAGGTTGCGACCTTAATAGGTGTTTAGACCAAAAACAGTCATACAGTTCCTAACACAGTGCATGCTGGGATTTATAGGACATTTTTCTGTAAAAATGCCATGTGTGGACTGGCTCTCTGTAGAATGTGAAGGCTAAACAGTTATGCTAATTTTTCTAATCACTTGGAGGATATTTATTTGTTTAGGATATTTGTATGCCGTCCTTTGCAAGAGCCTCAGGATGGCGTATGCAAATACAATACAATACAATACAAATATCTAATATAACATAAATAAATTAATGACCCCTCTGGCTGCAATTAAAATGTGATGATAAAATTCAATATTAAAACTTATTAAATATTGATTAAATAAAAAGGTCTTAACCTTTTTATTACACAGAGAAGGAGGAGCACACACTTCTTACGAAGCTGCTGAAATTGTATTTTTGGCCCACTTCTTGTGCACTTGATTGCCTTCAGTCTGCAATCAAAATGTGCTTTCTGCAACATGGATTTGGTTGCATAGAATGGTATTTTGAATCCAAATAAAAGTCTGTATACTATAGCCTCAAAAGTAGCATGTAAAGTCATGATCTGTACTAATGAACTGTATCAACCCATTTGGGATAAAGGCAATGGTCAACATAGACAGTTAACACACAATCTCCAAGAGAATTTGCACAAGTGAGAAGGAGAGGGATAGAATCATTTGTTTATTTTTAAAAGTGTATGCCTCAGCTTTCGGTCCAAGGTAGCATTCTGTGTGAGCAATATGAATTGGCCCCCAGGAATGCTGTGCAATGTGCCTAAATTCTTCTCATTTTTCTTCTTTTCACTCCTTTTTCTTTAGGCAAGCAAGCAGAATGGTCGATCCCTCAAAAAGAGGGCACAAGACTTTCTTCTCAAGTGGAGCTTTTTTGGAGCACGAGTCATGCATAATCTCACTTTGAACAATGCATCCAGTTTTGGTATCTGGTTTTATCAAACTCTCACTTTTTTCTAATTAAGTGATGGAAACGAGTAACCAGAATCTTATTGTGTATTAAAAGCTTTTCTAACCCGTCCCCCACTAGTGGCTTACAATAAAAAACAAATGGAGTAAAAGAAAACAGCATGACATCTGACAATTTGAGAAGATAAAACCCCAGTTAAAATCAATTAAACATTAAAATGATGGGAAAACAAAAAGGTTTTTACCTGACACCAAAAATAATATAATATTGGCACCAGGCAAACCTCTCTGGGGAGCACATTCCATAGTCGTATTCCATTGAATTTTCAGGAAATGGAACGTGTGGGCTGTGGCATTCTGAATTACACACGGACTGGTGACCTATTTCCCCAAATGGAAGAGAACATTTTTTAAGCCATACAGATGCTGATTGTGATTACTCCATGTGATGAGATGTATTCTGCTCATGGACGGCAGCTTATCTATCACTGTTCCATAAAGCAGATTCTAATGTTAGGCTCTGTCTGGTTTCCCTTTCCACAAGTGCATAGAGAAGAGGTACTGTAGAGAGACCACAGCACTCTGGACATGTGTTAAATTCCTTTATCATTCTTGTTTATGTCCTATTATGGGGGCTTGGAGAAAATGGCAGATCTATTATCCAATACCACTGCCAGCTACTACTGAAAGGTGGTTTTAAATGTGGTTTTAAATCCACATTTCCTGGCAATCTTGACTTAACTTTATGCTATAGAGGTAGGCCAAGAAAACTCCAACAACTACATTCTGGCTGTTTAGTATCAAGGAAACTGAAATACAGCAACCCTAGACTTCTCCTAGCAGGAGAGTTCAGCTTTATCTTACTCTGATGTATGCCTTCTTCAAGTATAAACCATATCTCACTTTCATCAGTGTTGTGCTTTGATGTCATTAGTGGTCAAATAATCTACAGGACAGTAAACATATTGAGCTAGGTGGGCTAAGGCAAAGCAAGATTAGAGCTGAGAAGTTAAGCACTGCTCCTTGTTGGTCTTAGCAGGTCATCGAAAGTCCAACAATTGTTTGTTTGTTTCACTTGCTTCTTGTAAAGTGTTGCGAGATGGTCACCAAGATAACTTTATGACATGCCCACTCTCTCTGCTTTTCTCCCTCTGCCAGGTTCATTTCATCTGATCCGCATGCTTTTAGACGAATACATCTTGCTTGCTATGGAAACCCAGTTCAACAATGACAAAGAACAAGAACTCCAGAGTTTATTGGACAAGTATATGAAGAACACGGGTAATTGGAAATGGTAGTTTTAGAGTTCTGAAGTTTTAACAATGTAAACTTAGCCAAGTTTACTGGTTATTTGTTTATGCTCAGAGTTCAACCCTTACGGTGTTTATTCTTTCATACCTAATAATGGCATTTTAAAGATTTATTTAAGTTTCTCAGCCAAGATACACTTACCAGAGAGTAAGCCTAACTGAAGTCAATGGCACAATTTCTGAATAAACAATTTGAGGATCTTGTGGTATTTGGGTTTCATATATCAAATGTAGACAAAGTTATCTATTATAACTCTACATCAAGTGGCTAAACAGTAGGATAATCCTGAGGCATGTGACCAACCAAAATCAGAATCTATCATTCTAATTAAGCAATTGGCAGAACAAGAGCAAATACGTTTCCTCCATTTCTGATCATCACTTTGCCTTAACTCCTTTTGGAGATAGCATAATGATGGTGAACAGAAGAAATTAGTCTCAGAGAAAATCCTAGCTGGTCATAGAGAAGAAGGCAATTTCTTAGCTCTGCTAGGTCCAAACTGCTACAGATGTAATAGGTCCAAATTAGCACCTTGAGTAGCACAATGGAGATAACAGATACCCCCTGAGCAAGAGGGTTGGACTCCATGGCCTAAGTGGCCCCCTGCAACTCTGAGTCTGTGATTCATTGGGATCTCTGGAAAACCCCTCGACATTTTCTAAAAGGCTTGGCTATGAGATGACTGCTTTAACTTACCTAGCCAAACTACCTAACCTAACCTAACTCTGTTCCCATTGTGTTTGACTCCGGGCAACATGGTATAATGCATGAGTTGCAGGTGCCCATGGCACTCATCCATCCCTTTGGAGGAAACTTTCTGCTCTTTTCTCTTTCTGCATCACACTGGAAGAGTCAGTTGTAATACAGGAAGCTTCCCTAAAGAATCAACTGCCTCCCTACCAGCCTATTCTTCTGTCTTTAAGTCACCTATATAAGATATACTGTGCTCTAGCTGACACTTCACCAATGCTATTTTTCCAGATGCCAGCAAAGCTGCTTTCACTGCATCCCCAAGCTCTTGTTTCCTAGCAAACCGCAACAAGGCAGGTACAATTTCAACTGATGCTGCAGTGAAAAATGAATGTCTTGTGGAACAAGCCTATTTCCCTTTGACAGCCAATCCACACAGTGGCCTGTCCTCCAGTCTGAATTCATTCTCCACGGGGAACAATGAGAACATAGAGCTGACAGGTAGGAAACAAATGGGCCCTCTGCCCCTTTCCCCTCCATGTTTTCCTTTATGTATGTGTTATTGAAAGGATCATGGGAGTAAACAATACATGAAATTTCATGGCTCTTTCTGTTTGCTTAGATTTTGAAAAGTCTCGAGGTTTTATTCAGTGGTGTCATTCCACCAGCAGGAAGGAACCATCAGTAGAAAGATGCCTCCCTCCCACTCCACCCCCAGCTCTGTCCTGGAAGGTTGGAAAACCCTCTGGAGCACACCTGGGACATGCATGGGAAGCTCAGGTGGAGGAGAGGCTGGGAAGTCCCATCACGCAGGCCAGGCTCCTAACACGTGTAACCCCTCACCCAGCTGTCTGTTTTCCCAGGTCAAACAGATCTCTCTGAGAACGCTGCCCATCTCATGACCCCGCCCATTTCTCCCGCCATGGTCAGTCGAGGAAGTGTCATCAACCAGGGACCCGTGGCTGGCAGCCCTCCAAGTATCGGCCCACCATTGCCTGCACCCTCTCACTGCTCTTCTTATTCGGAAACCCTCTATCAGACTGTGCCACAAGTGAATCAAAGTTTTTATGGTGTTGGTACCAGCTACCCAGCGATGTTCAGGAGCCAGACTCATCCGTCCTCTGGAGCCTATCAGCACAGGGCAGAGCCCAGCCACTTCACGTCCTCAAATGAGCAACAGCACTTCTCCAGGGACTACTTCAGCAGCAGTTGTGCTGTGTCCCCGTACAGTGCCAGGTCGCCTCCAAACTACGGCTCTGCCTTAGCCACGCAAGAGACACATGGCATGCAGTTTTTGAACAGTGGGGGCTACAACTTGATGAACAATTCAGCAGCTAATTCCTGTCAAGGATTGTCATATTCTTCAACTGCTTCCAATGGTATCCTTCCTTCCTTCCTTCCTTCCTTCCTTCCTTCCTTCCTTCCTTCCAACAGGGTCTGGTTTTATTTCCAGAAAGGAGATGCTGTGTTAGTCAGCTGCAGTACCCATGGCAAAGGACCTTGTGGCCCTTGGAAGGCTGACAGGTTGATTGTGATGACGGCCTTCATGGAATGAGTCCATTGAAAGCACCTTTTCTCCCCAGACCAAGCACAGGCTAATAAAAAGTTTCCGACTTCCATACAGCAGCAGCAGCAGCAGTTCATTGGACAGTTTTCTGGAGAACAGCAACCTCTGCTGAGTGACAGCGTAATTGCCTTGCTGGATAAGCCAAAGGGCTATGCAGTCTGGCATCGTTGCTCCTGCAGAAGCCAAGCAGGTGCCTCTGAGGATCCCGCAAACAGGACATGTTGTTGCTCTCCAGTAATGCACTGGCAAGTGTACTGCCTCTTTAGTGTTGCTGTGTGGGGTGAGAGACCCTGACGCATCATTCAGGGGCAAATGCTGGCATTCTCCAAGGAACTGTCCGAGATATTTAGAACTTGTTTGCACTTTGTGGATCACATCCTTAGGGAATCCTAAAATCATTTAAGATGGCAAACTTACATTTACCCCAATAAAATCTCACTGAATCCAACTACGTATATCAACAGGCACATAACATGAAGTTTGTGAACAGAGGGAACTCCATTTGGCTTGTATTGATCTCCAGATCCTGGACTAATGTGTGAATCATAACAAACGTAACTTCACAAACTTTGCAAGTTGGCCTGAAGTCTGAGTCTGAAATTTCCACTCCTAGTTTTCACATGCTGTTCCTGCTAGGGGCATTTGCAGCTCTGCTGTAGTATGCGTCTAGAGAATGTACAAGGGAATAAATCTGCATAAATTTTTGACCCAAACTTCCTCCCCTTTCTGACCCTTGGCGTGCCCTTTCTTTCCCCACCAAAGCCCAGGTACAGCCTTGAATGGGGCAGCTGGCATGTACCTGCACCTGCTTCAAAAAGGTGGGGTGGAGGCTTGGTCTCCAGAGTCCCAGTTCCAGGATTGCAGGACCATGAGTAATCCTATGGCCTCAGAAGGACTTTTGGGTTCCTTTCTTAATGCACAGTGGACCAGAAGCTTCTTTCATTTACATCAGACCAGCACCAGCTTGTGGCCCATGACTTGCATCTAATCTCTGCCCTCAGTATTGCAATCCTCCTCTCACCTGAGAAGGCTGCCAGCTCATTGAGAAGAAGACATGAGAAGAGTGCTACCTTTAGCTGCACTGGATCTCAGCTTTCTTCCCAGTGTGCCTGCATTTCCCTCTCTCTCTAGCCTGCCTTCAGTGATAATGCAAAAAGTTGAAATTACATGGGTTACCAAGGCTAACACTTTGTCAGAAGGAGGAGGTCTGCCCTGGCTATTGTCTCAACCGGCTGTGTAGCAGGAAATGACCTTAAGAGCTCATCAGATCAACATTGTTGTTTTACCTAGCAATCCAGCTCAAAGAAGTAAGCCAAGCTCAGAAGGTGAATCTTATGGGCATCTTGCTACAGTGAGCCTCTTGTAGAAAATGGTGCCTGTTCTAATTTTACCTGGTTGGTAAGTGGGAGCAGCTACTGACTAGTGCTGTTTAGTTTCCTCAAAACACCAGTATAAGTTATTTGCAGCTAAACATACACCAAGGATGGGGGACAGATTTTGATGGACTGCAACTGCCATCAGCATTAGCTAGCATACCCAATGGTGAGTGTGAATGGAAGATACAGTCCAGCAACATCTGGAGGTTCACATATTATTCCAGATCCTATGAGAATATTGCTTGCACTGTTTATCTGTTCTGAACCAATACTTGTGTAGCTATTATTTACTAATACTTACTTTCTTACTGTCAAATCTGTTTGACAGGGTTTTATGGAAATAATATCAACTATACAGAATCCCACAGACTTGGGTCAATGGTAGATCAGCACGTTTCTGTTATCAGCAGCATTAGTAGCATCCGACCATTGCCTCCGTACAGTGACATTCATGATTCACTCAGTATCTTAGAGGACACTGGAAGGAAACAGGGACCAACCTATTATCCAGAGGCCTCCATAGCCTGTCGAAATCCCACAGGTAAGTAGATCTGATGGCAAAGCAAGAACACTGAATCTTCTAATGGAAGCCCTCTTCTCTCATATGGTCTGTGTGAGAACACCTGGAAGAACAAACAGCAAATACCTGGGAGGAGAGCCCAATTGTGCCGTCTGGCCATTCCTCCAGCCACAAGCAAAGGTGAGAACAGGCTCTGCCCGTGTGCAGGTGTTGTGCACAGAGAGCTTGGACAGTTGTGAATTCTGAGTAGGATCCCTTCTGGTGTGCATAAGCCCAGTATGGACATATATGTGTAGGATCTGTTCTTACCTTTGGCCTGATACGAAAAAACTGGGTGAAGAGACAGTCTTCAGACAAGTAGAAGTCAGGAGCAGGGCCAAACAGTGCAAAATTGCTTCTCTACCTCCATAAATTTTGCTCCCCATGAGGATCCAAACCAGAGGGGAGAACTTAGGCCTTGGGTATATGTACTGGGTCCCCTGTTGAAAAACCTGCAGTTAGTGCCAGAACTTAGTTCTGGAAAGAGAGCAGTAGAAATTTCCTTCACCAATAACCTAGTTAATTGTACATATGTGGGAATTGTTGTTTCAGCTCAAAGGCCATATTTTGAGGGGGCTTGAAATGTTGGCACACTTTTGATAAATTAACCACAACTAACAATAACACTTTTAATCAGGAGGAGTTGATTTTTTCCCCCAGCTCTAAGATCCAGTATACATATGATTTGAGAAGCTGCATTGAGGCTATAATCCTATTAGCATGCTTACCTCAGACTAAGTCTCATTCAAAGTGGTAAGATTAGGTAAATCAAGGTAAATCCTATATGCATAGGATTGGGCCACTAAGGCACCTATGCAAGTTTAGGCAAAAAAAGCAAAAAGAAAAAGTGTAGGTTTTTCCTGTCTAAACTTGTGTAGGATTGCATGTGTGGTCAGTTTAATTTAGTTGCCTTGATTATGATATGTTGAACATAATGGCTGTCCTTTACTTCACACAATTCATAGCACTCTCTTCCATGGCACTCTCTTCCATGAGGTTCCAGTATGGCCCAGCTGGTCTCTTCAGGCAAGTCACACTGCTACAGACTTAGGTCTTCATCTGGTAAATTGGAACATCATCTGTTTACTTTACAGGGTTCTTGACAGAACAAAAAAGGAAAGGGCATAAACACTTTAGCACAGGTTTCTCCAGGATGCCCCCTCCTAGATGATTTAGATCCCAGCTCCCAGAACCCTTCTGCTGCCTGGAGCTGTAGTCAAAAATATCAGGGTCATACTAAGTTGGGGTGGGCTGCTTGAAAGGGAGAAAGAAAGAGAGAGGGAATGAACATCATTTATATCTCATATTTCTATCAGATATATCCCCTTTCAAGCCAGCTCACAGGAAACAGCTAAAGAAATGGTTTCTTAAAGAAAAAGAAGACAGTGGGGGGAATGTGAATTAAGTATAAAATATATACCAATCAAAGAACACCAAGGACCTGGGCAAATGGGAATCAAAACAATGATGTGTAGGCAATAAGAAGTCTGGCACCGATCTAATACAGAAACGGATGGCTGGTTCCAATTTAGACACAAGCAGCTGGTCGGGCAGAAGTGGACCTCTCTGCTCCTCTCCCTGTGGTAGCCCCTGAAAAGGCTACACGGAGGGTCAGGGGACTTGGCTGAATGGGTTTGCTGTGGGGCAGGGAAAGGGAGCAACCATCAAAATTATGATTTTCCCCATCATCCCCCCCCCCCCACAATTCTGTCAGGAGAAGGCCCGTCATGGATGCAAACCAAATGCATCTATTAGAAACATGTAAACATTTCTAACATTTGCATACATAAATGATAACTTTCAGGGTGAGAAGCTTACTCCTGAACAGGTCTTAATATATAGGCTTGAAAATATTACAGGTTGAAAAGAGTTAATCTGTCTCTTCCCATTCTGCTCTGTTTCCTGCATTTTTAAATACTTTGCATTTCTGCCAGATTTTGGATTTGTCTTTACAGCTATATGGCTGCTTGTAGTTTGTCCTACTCCGATGTGCAAAAACAACCAAATTGCTCTGTTTGCAAATACTGGAAATGTTTCTTTGCGTATGAAATCTCTTTTATACAGAGCTTAGACTCAAAGATGCTGAACATGAATGGATGGCCACCAAGCAAAAGAGAGGTTTTAAAGGACCCTTCATAATTACTGCTTCACGTATATCTGTGGTGTGGAAGTGAAGAGGATGGCTTTACTTTTTGCCAGGGCTCTTTGTGTTGCCATAGCATAAACTTGAAACATGTGAGGGGGAAAAAGGATTGTTAAAAGTGCCCCTACCTGGAGCACTTACTACTGAGTACTTCGAATGTCTCTGCATACCAGCTTGTATGAGGAATGCCTTCTAGATAAGGGACTACTATTTCTAGACAGGTTTAAATCACTGGGATAGATTCCCTCCCTACCACCACCTAGAACAAAAGCAGCAAAAGGAGTAACAATTGCCATTTTCTCTGCAGCTTCAGACATGCAGCCTGCTATATCGGCCTCCTCCTCCCAGTGCATGTACGGCCATGCTAGACAGTGTCCTTCACAGGAGACAGTGGACTCTTCTGGACAAGCCAGCAGTGAGATGGTCACATCTTTACCACCAATCAATACTGTTTTTATGGGAACCGCTGCTGGAGGCACCTGACTTACTGATGTGGATGCATCCTTCTCCTGTTCCAGTACTGAACTGCTAACAACAACCTCTAGTGATTGGAATGGAAAAGCAGTACGAATAATTGTAGAGACCACCTAGAAGGATTTTGCTTGCACTGCAAACAACTCACAAGTCCATGGCTGGACACAGAATATGCCCGGTATATGAATGGGAATATAATCACAGAATGGCTTTTAGGTGTCTCTTACGATGGCTCTTCTGGTTTGAAATACATGAGTACTTGTCCATCTTCCCTTTTCTTCTAAGGCCATAATTATAAGCAATACTTTTCGACCACTGGTCCTTCCTTGCTCGCAACCTTGTTATCCCTCTCTCCATGCTGTATGGTCTACTTTAGAGATGAACTTGGGTTGCAAAAGTGCCTAGGCGAACCCCTAACAATGGTGGCTATACTGGACCAAGTGGCCTTGCTGCATCATGATGCTTCTGCTCACCAAGGTGCCAACCCATCTCTGCCTTGAACTTGGTTGTTTGGGCGGGTCACTTGTCCTTGTGCTTAACCGTGCCTCCCATGGAAGCCCATGTGGTGGTGGTGGTGGTGGTGCCCAGGAACATTTCTTAACTTGTAAAACGTGCCCACAAACTCAAAATAGTTGCCATCCCTGGCTCTAGATCTTCTCATAGCAAAAGTGTTGCAGTTGTGCCATGGCTCCGAAGCAGCAACTATCAGGCATAATCGGGGTGTACTCTGTTGTTCTAAATGCCAGCATTTCCCAAATTACTCAAATCCAATTATTCAATTGGACTTCTCTACTCAGCCATCTTTTCAATATTAATATTTTACAGGCCTTGGTTAAGTGCCAATGTGCAAATTGTTTAACACTATCACGTCTAGGATGTGGTAATCTGGTTGCTGCATGCATGGTTCCTGCTGTTCTTGCAGGCACCGTGCCAGTCCTATCATTATGCTTTCTGATCAGGGGATGGAGCAAGAAGAAGGACACCTGTGCTGCTCATCTCTCTTCCTCCCCTGTTAGAAGGCCCCATCAGGAGGGTGTTTGCTGCAGCAAGAGATCTCTAGAGCAACCTGCTAAGTGCACCACCAGACACTTCCTACCTCAGGCAGCTGCCACTGCCCTACCTGCCTGCCTGCTTCCTCACCTGTTGGCCAGCCCTCAGCTGCTGGGGCATAGGGCAGGAATGGCTGGGCAGGCAGGCCTGAGCAGCATGGTCAACTGGCCAACCTAGGGAGGAGCAGGCAAATAGGCCAGCCAAGTGGGGAGGCAACAAGAAACGTTGCTTAAGGCAGCAGGAAAGGTTGGGTAGGCCTGTTTACATGTATGAGGCCAACTCATTTTGCAAAAAGATGTTATATAGGGGACGCTATAGAAAAGCTTTTAATAAATGAATGAATGAATGAATGAATGAATGCAGGATGGCGCATTCATTCAGTGGTACAGTGCATGCTTCATGTACAGGGGCATGTCAGGCTCAAGTCCTGGCAAGTCCAGGTAGGGCTGGGAAATATTTCTGCCTGAGACCCTGGAGACCACCTGCCAGTCCTTGTAGAGAAAATTGGGGTAGATGAACCCAGGCAGCAAACCAGTAAAGGCAGTAAAGCAGCATGATCTTTATCACTGTGACTTCAGCGAAATCCAGTACAAGCAACAGCTGATCTCATGAGTCAAGTGCTTGTTTGTGGAAGCATTCTTTGTGTGCCCTTCCCACTGAATCATTTGGCCTTCCTGCATACAGAATCAGCAGGATGGCCAATGGTCCACCTGAACTCAGTACCGGCTTACTAATTCAACATTTGAGCCTTATCAGTGACCTCTGCTGCATCTCTTTCAGTCCTAATAAGGCAAGGATATTTGGGCAAAGAGGTGCAGATGGAATTCAGCAGGCAGGGTGTGTTTCCCACATGACCCTTTGGCCCCCAACAAGGTAAACAGAATTTACGCCAGAACTTCCAGTCAGGCCTTTCACACATCTATACGGAAACCATAATTTGCTGGCATCAAAGGGCCATGCACAAATGGCCATTCCTGACTTTTCAAAGTACTGCTTCCCAGAACATAGAGGCTGCAATATGGTACACATTTACTTGGTGATAAGTCCTATTGAATTCAGTGGGTCTTACACCTAAGTAGACCCATATTGCATTGCATATAGCTGCCACTTTTTTTCTCTTTCTATCATGTGATGCCAAAACCTGCATGGGTTGCATTATTTGGGAATATTGTTCTGGTATCCCAGTAGTTATGGTCTATTTTCAGAAAAAGGCCAACAAATTCTCATGTGTAGTGTGTAGTAGGGGGATGGAGAAAATTAGTCATCTAATCTTTACTTATTCAAAGCAGTTTCCTGTCACTCCTACATACCTTCTGTGTTGTAAAAACAAAGAAGCATTATTTAATAGAGGTGATTTTCTTTATTTATTGGGATTGAAGAGTTTACTTACAATTCTGTTTGGCAGATTGTCAAATATATGAATTCTACCTCCTATGGAAATGTTTACAAAGTCAATTTTTATTACTTCAAATCAATCTAGACCAAACTTAACGTTTTCTAATCTTGTGGATTAAAGAACTCCTTTGTGATGATACTGAATGGCAATCTCATTTGTTCTTTTGTTAATCACTGGTTGTTTAGCATATTTTTCACATGGCTTTTTGCGGCGGGGGGGGGGGCATTTCCTGACTTTTAGAGCAGCACAGCAATGGAGGGAGGTGGTGGGCTCTCCCACACTGGAGGCATTCAAGAGGCAGTTGGACAGCAGTCTCTCAGGGATGCTTCCACTCTTGGTCCTGCGCTGAACAGGGAGTTGGACTTGATGGCTTATAGGTCCCTTCCAGCTCCACTATGATTCTATGATTCTGCCAACATTTGTCCAGGATGAATATTTATTCTGAATGTGATCCTATGTTGTCCAACCAGATATTGATAACTGCATCTTTGAAATCACCCAGTTGCATGAAGAGGGCTAGGCCATAAACCAGGCCAGCTTTACAATTAGGCAATGGGGCCTAATTTTAAAAATGAAATTCTAAAGGCACAAGCACAAACAATTCCAACAGGGAAAAAAGAAGACAACAGAAGAAGGCCATGTGGTTTCAAAAATGGTTACAGATGATCTGAAAACAATAAAGGCCATGTATAGGAAGTGAAAGGAAGGCCAGGCTACAAAGGAAGAATACAGGCAAGTAGCACAAAATTATAGGGATGGCATCATGAAGGGTAAAGCTAGGAATGAAGGAGGCTAGTGAGCAATGCTGAAAGCAACAAAAAAGCCTTCTTCAGTTATGTCCAAAGTAAAAGACAAAGGAAAGAAATGGAGGTTCTTCAACTACTCAATGTAGGTGGCAAAATTGATAACAGGTGATAAAGGGCAGAATGTACAATCCCCACTTTGGCTCTGTCTTCCCCAGAAGTAGATCTGTGACATTCCTGATGAAGGGGAAGTGCAACCTGAAGGGGTAGGATCATCTAATTGGGTTGAATGAGTTCCAGTCTCCAGGGCCTGATGAACCCCATCCTAGAGTCATAAAGGAGCTGACGGAAGAACTCTCAGATGCACCATTATCCTTAAAACACCATGAAGGACAAGAGAAGTGTCAGATGACTGGGAAAGGGCAAATGTTGTCTCCATCTTCAAGAAAGGGAGGGTGAGGAGAAGAACCTGGGAACTACAGACCAATCAGACTGACATCCATCCCTGTGAAAATTTTGGAACAGTCAGTCTGCAAACACTTTGAAAGTAATGCAGTGATTACTAGAACCCAGCATGGATTCCTCAAGAACAAATCCTGCCAGACTAATCTGATTTCATTTTTTGATTGGGTAACCTCCCTGACAGACTGTGGGAATGCTTTGTACATAATCTATCCTGACTTAGCAAAGCTTTTCACAAAGTGCCCCATGATATCCTAATTACCAAACTAGCAAAAAGTGAGCTAGGTGGTACAAGGATCAGGTTGATCCACAGTTGGCTACCAACTAGGACTCAAAGAGTGTTCATTGATGGCACCTTCTCTAACTGGGGAAAGGTAACAAGTGAGGTACTACAGGGGTTAGTCCTGGCTCTCAGCCCTGCGCTCTTCAACATTTTTATTAATTATTTGGATCAGGAAGTGAAGGGAACAATGATCATATTTGCAGATGACACAAAACTTTGTGGGATAGCTAATATCCTGGAAGAGAGAAGTAAGATTTAAGATGAACTTGACAGGTTGGAGTGCTGGGCTAAAACAACAGAGTGAAATTCAGTGAGGAATAATGCCAAGTTCTGCACCTAGGAGACCAAACACATTGTTACAAGATGAGGAATACTTGGCTCAACAAGAGGGCAAGTGAGAAGGATTTGGAATTGCTGTAGAGCAGAAGCTGAATATGAATCAACAATGTGAGGTGGCTTCAAAAAGGGCAAATGCTATTTTAAGCTCCATTAATTGAAGTATTGCTTCTAAATCATGTGAAGTACTAGTTACCATTTATTCAGCACTGCTTAGGCTTCATCTGGAGAACTGTGTCCAGTTCTGTGCACCACAGTTTAAGACAGATGCAGACAGACTGGAAAGGATTCAGAGGACAACAAGGATGTTCCAGGGACTGAAAACAAAGCCCTGTGAGGAGATATTGAAAGAACTGAGCATGTTTAGCCTTGAGAAGAGAACCCTGAGGGGATATGATAGCAGTCTATAAGTACTTGAAAGGCTGTCACAAACAGGTTCTCTTCTCGATCATCAACAGGAAGGACAGGTTCTCTTCTCGATTATCAACAGGAAGGACAGGTTCTCTTCTCGATCATCCCAGAGTGCAGAACATAGAATAACAGTCTCAAGTTACAGAAAACCAGGTTCAGACTGGACATCAGGAAGAATTTCCTGAATGTTATTGCAGAACAACAATAGAACCAATGACCTAGGGAGGTGCTTGGTTCTCCCGCACTACAGGCGTTCATGATGCAACTCGGCCACCGTCTGAGAGGGATGGTTTAACTTGGAGTCCTGCACTGAGTAGGGGGCTGGACC